TTTCGTCAGCCATATTATAAATTCTAAAAGCTGTACAATGTTGTAAAACACACCTAATGGCATTACTGAGAATATCCATGGTTCTCGGAACGCACACAAACACGCCCATAAATATGAAAAGGGCTTTTGTAGACCTAGAAAATAGATACACCTAGCCTTCTAGAAACTTAAGACTCCCATATTACTACTAACAAATTCATAAACTTATCCAAATCGATAGTCTTACAAGTAATATTTTAAGAATTCTTTCAAACAATCGATTAAAATAAATACACGGGTTTAACCGCAAGTTTTATTACCGAAATAAGTTGAAGCACAGACGTAGGTTCATGTTGTTATCCTATATATAATTACGATTAGTCCCTCACTATTTCTGCTACATTCGGTCTGAAATGTTTCACGAAGCACAAAGGCAATGTATTCGTCTCTAATTACCACTGTCCATCTTATCTAATGTTGTTCTACCCTGCGAATTACATGCCACAGTATAAAGCAGTCGATACAGCCCCCACGCGAAGATATCGGGAAGGAACAGTCACGTTAACCGAGCCCAAGCTGTCGGGTCGGGAAGCTGTTTCTACCTGAACGCGAAACAAAGCGAGGATGACCTGTCTGGAGGTAGGCGGCGATACCCTAATGCATCGTTATTCAAGCGAAGTGGCGTGACATGTGAACGGGCGAAAGGACCACATTGGTTGCTCATACCGCAATGTCTCAAGAACCAGGCAAAAACTGACACGACGAAAGGAATTAAGAAACTCGTTTGGTTACGAAACAGCAAACGTAACAAAAGACAAAGCAAATTTGCATAGATCGAGTTTTTGAAAGGGAAAAAAAAAAGTCTCCTCTTGTTTTATTTCCAATGTAAGCCTAACATTCGTTCTGGGACGTGTTTGCAATGAACGAAAATTACATACTTTCTATACGGGTAGCAGTGGGAAGAACAAACATGGCTGACACACAGCGCTAAAGCCAGCGAGCATCGCATTCCAGAACATTCCGGTCGCTAATTTCATTAAAATGATACGAGGTACATCGACAGCTGGAGATAGCCGATTCCTTTAATCAACACCAACTGATATATGGACTACTCAACTACTACGTTTAATTGAACGACCACGCAAAAAAAAAAAAAAAAATCTAACTCGCGAAAAGCCACAAAGCAAACTGCTAATTTAAAACCAACAACTTACGCCATGACCAGATTTCTAAATAACTCACTGATAAAGCAGTTCCATACTAAAACGACGAGCTTCGGCGCTAATGTACGTCCTGAGACGACGCCAGTAAAGCCTGTGGACACTAGAAATGAATCAATCCTGAAAAAACTGTTCTGTCTGTCTGTCTGTCATTTTCAGTTGCCCTGCGCGTGTATCATAGATCACAGTTTCTTACTTTCTTCCATATCAGTCCGTCCTTTGAGAGAGGCACTACGAGTCCCTCAGCTGGCCAAAACGTTTCCAGTTCTTACGGGATCCGAAATTAAATTACAGTGCACGGTGTCTGTTTAACGACGCTGTCACTCGCTCAGATGGTCATGTCAGATGGTGGAATTATTCATAAACTACAAAATTTTTGGAGGTACTGAGGAAAAAACTACGAGAAACCTCAGACAGGACAGCCGTTCTCTGGGCCCAGATTTGAACCCGTCAACTCCCGAATACGAAGCAAGTGCGATGTTCTCACTCGGTTGTAACGTCAGATCTGGGCCAATTTAATCTAATCAATCTCTTCACATCGATACATGACCGCGTCTTTGTGTCGAGTGTTGTGACTGGCCTATCCCCTGACCAGCAAATAATCAATTAGAAGCAAAATATTCAGAGCCCTCCTCTTGACAATATGGACAGCAGAATACTTACACTGACATAACGAACTAGATTTCGATTTAGTGCAAAAGTCTCAGTTCCCATTTAGATCTCGCCCTATCCAGTTGGTGTTTAAGTGATGTTACTACTTTCTCTACTTTCTCTCCCTCTCCCACTCTCGCCCACGTGCTACCATTGGTCCACTCCCATACCTGCTCCCATTGGCTCGGGGTAGGCTACACCTTTCACTTCCCTGCCTATAAATCCAGCTCCTCACACCCTATTCGCATATTCATCGCCCTGATGATGGAGGCAGTATGACCTCTGAAACGTTGGTTAACATCGACCAGACTACACAGCGCAACAACCCAGAAGACAGAAATCTTCATACTCATCGCTGTGAGAACCTCAAGTCTTACGAGGTTATGTTAGTTTACCGAAAGAACACAATTTGTGATATGATAACAATTTAACCAGCTGACAAACCAACGCGAAAAAAGCAAGCAGAATGTTGTGCATTATTCAAATGGCTGTTACATTACTTCTTACGAACGTTTATTGGGCCAATAAGACACACGTTTTATTTCCAGCGTTAAGCAGCAGAGGAGATGAACTTTGAAACCGAGTCTTATAAACCCCTGGCGACAGTCGTCAAACCGATTTACCATTTTCGATCAAGTCTGCATCCATCTTTCGCGTATAAGTTTTTCTGTAAAACAGATTTTGATGGAACCTCCATCAACGATTGATAACATCAAAACAAAAATTGTCCATGTTACATTAAAAAGGTGGTAAGTTCCCTTAACATCACTGGAATCTGGCAAACCTTCAATTTCCAATCGACTGGTAAAAATGACAATTGCAGTCACCAATTATGCTACAGCTCTCCTGAAAAAAGTTACAAAGCCCTTTTCAGTCGTAAGTTGTGTAAAAAAGCAGCATCCACTGCAGCGAAATTACGTACAGTGAACTGGAAAAGTAGGATGAGATAGTGGCCTCAAAAGGCAAAGCCCCCGTGAAGGGATGTTGAAACCGTACGACCGCCAGTGCCACCGCGGATATTAAAACTCTGCGCATTCAACACTCACATATTCTGCTCTCGAGAAATAAAATTTCTTGAATCACGACATAAGTTCCGCCATCAACAGCAAGGTGAGACAGATGCATGACACAGACTGTACCTCCCTCCAACACAGAGGGCAGCAGAGACTGAAACTGTTGCTCCCATTACCGGTCCAAGCTTCGAATCCCGGTAAATTGACATCACGAGGGGTGAATGTTTTCAACGGGGATGATACGAAGGGGTGGATCGAATCTTTGGTGAGTCAGTGATGGTCTGGAGTAAATGTAGGGGAAAGAATGAAAGAGAAGTGGCAAAGCTGAGGAGAAAGGGAGAGGAAAGAATGGTAGAGAGGATTAGAACACAAGAGTACAGTCAAGTCAGTATTAAACTGCAGCCTAGTCGCTCAAATGAGACAGACAGACAGACAGACATTTGAAGTGCAACCACTGACGAATGTTCAGCGTCCGTCCTTACAAATTTCAGGCTAGGACCGCTTCCTTCTACATCCTTACCAAGTCACGGTATTTCATTCGAATCTGTGTAAGCCTGGCATGACATACAAACATGGCGTTACGTCAACATCTAGATACAAATTAAACTAAATACATGACAAATTACTTAACTCGGCAACAATGTAATAATATACTAGCTACCTAGGTGGCTTAGGGAACCCGAAGGTTCATCACCGAATTAACGAAAGCCCTCCACTGGGCCAACAAAATCCAGTCTCCTTCAACTCCTATCTCCCATAGATCCCGCCTGAGATTATCCTCCCATCTACGTCCAGGTCACCCCAGCGGTCTCTTCCCCTCAGGCTTCCCAACCAATACCCATCCATGCGCGCTACATGCCCCGCCCATCTCATTCTTCTCGACTTAATCGCCCTGACAATACTGGGGGAGGAGTACAGATTTTTAAATTCGTCATTATGTAGTTTTCGTAATAATATACTACACATAACAAGCCACCGGAAACAGCAGTAACAAACAAATTTATGCAAAATAAAATCAGGTAAACGACAAATTAGGAAATATTATTCAGTCCAAAAATTATCATCCAGTTTATTTTATGAAGTAAACAGAAGTTCAAGACAGACAAAACAATTTTGTTGCTTGTATTTTTCTTTGACGGAGGACATTCAGGAAAATATCTGGGCCTGTGATGAATAAAGCATGGGTAATGTAGGATATCAGGGCATTTGGTAATGTCGAATGATGGCAACATTAATGAAAACCATGACTGGAAAAGACTGGAATGAGGAGTTCCGGCATGCCAGTACACACTGGGGAAAACAAAGTTACAAAAGGAGATCCCCAAACCGAGATTTGAACCTGGGACCTTCCGAACATGAATGAGGAGTACAGATTACTAATGGATTAAGTAGGTTTGAAAGGTTTATGTGAAGGCCAGTTGTGTTAAATACAACCTGAGTTAACTAAGCAGGTAAGGCAGAAAAAATCCTTAAAATAATGTACAATATGTGCCAACAAATTAATTTTGTCACATACGTGTGTGCACTGGTTATAGCTTATCTGTACTGGAAGTGATAAGCAACATTTTTAAACACATGGCAATCTTGAATCTATGCCATAACCACGTGTGTATGTATATCCAAAACAGTTTTGTCTAGATGCCGTCTAATTTCACATCTTAAAATGCATGTCCGATGATAAAGACAGCACGTACGGGAAGTTCTTTTAATATTCTGTAACTCTTCACGGATAAAATGAGCAATAAACGATAACAGGGGGGCCAGTAATCGCCCGTCGATAAACTCTTGCAGTTATCACACAAAGGTATAGCCTAGCAATGTACACAAAACGTTCTGATAAGACGAAAGCAATAATCTTAATGTTGTTGTGTTTATCAGTTAAACCAATATGACATTTGCGGGAGATGACTAATGGTGTGTTCTTTCAAAAAGCCCTTGTTGCGATCAACACAACCCAGTAATGGAAACACACGTTTACTTAAAACAATAATATGAAAAAAATAAAACGTTTTCAAAGCAGCACTGACTTGAAACAAAAGCAGAGTGTGATAAATTATTGATTCAGAAAAATAACTCAGTTATTTATTCCTGGAAATCTATGTTTCTCTCTTTTCTTATTCATAACCCGTTGGCTTACCTTGCACAACCAATGTCAACAGCGAAATGATTCCGATAGTAGTCCATGATTTTAATGCGAATATCTTCCCTCCTGTCCAATTCATCTTGAGGGACACTTAACGGAACAATAATCCATCCATTTGGTTTACATTTTCACAGTTTACCTTACATGAAGTCACATTAAATAACTACAAAATGTCAACACGTCGTAAACAAACCGAGCCGGACAACTCCACCACTACAGCTGCCAACAAACTGATGCATCGCTGTAGGCGGAATGTAATCCCGCGCGGAGTGATACAAGTTTTACATACTACGAGAATGTTTATATTTTTTTACCGTAAATTCATTTTAAATTTTATTGCGATATAAATTCAAGCACAACAATAATTATTAGCAGAAGAACAAATATACGTTTAAAACCATAAACACCAAAATATCGGTCAAAGTCTTTATACAACGTACACCCACGGACATGCCCTGCCATCTATCAAGCAACGACCAAACGATACACCGCTATGTCAGCGCCATCAGAAAATTCAAACCTGTCACTTGGTTTAAACACAAAATAATATGGAATTGTTAGCAAGGACCACTAATATTGCATGTTATGTAAATTCATTCGATACGGCTTTCAACTACATAATGTATTTTCATACACGCGTATTTTTTGAGTTCCCAGCACGGATGATAATTCTACAAAAGCCTATCTACATACATAATGAGTTTGTATTCAGTGTGGCGGAAAAGCACGTGGTTGAGAAAAGGAGACAAAAGGCTTTCTTAACACACACAGAGGAAAGATGGTGGTTAAAGAAGTTCTCGTGAAAACAAGTACTACTTCTGCTGCCTCCTTTCCTACTATGTCATGCTAAGAATGCTGGGTTTTTATAGGTTAAAATAATGAATACAAACACAAATGCCCCCCACAACTGCAAATTAACAACAGACGTGTTTCTGACACTTTGGTGTAAGAACCTTACACCAAAGGGTCAGAAACACGTCTGTTGTTAATTCATCTCACATCTAAGAGGGACAAAGAGTTTCAGACAAATATGAAACAACATACAGAATCAGCCAATTATTGCAATGTCAAGTAATAATTATACAAAAATAAGTACACCATATACAAAAAAACATAATATTATACATCAGCTCTAAAGAATGCCACAAAAGTATGGACAGCACATCACATTACAGAAGTCTGCAAACACAACCAAAGGAAAAAAAAATTGCAACTACGCAGATAAATGCTATATATAACCTGCAAACATATGCTCTGATATCAATGGTTTGGTCACCCATTTTCTTTTGATATTCATATTCAACACAATTCTTTTTTCCTAAATGACATGACAAAAACCATGAAAATGTCATGTCACTGTCAACTTGACCTCTTGAAAAAGATAAATATTTATCTGAAAAATTGGATGATGGGTTTAACTTTTTTCTGTATTCATTAACTTGATCTTCAAATGACACTCTTAATGCCGCTGTCTTGTCTGTGGCTTAACACGGATGTAAGGTCAATCATAAGGCAAAATACGGTATTTTGCTTGCACAACAACGAAGTAAAATAAATACTGTCATTTAAAAACAAACAAAAAACCTTCTATATCTAAAACACTTCTCATGAATATCAGACTTAGTGGCCGACTACTCTGCTTAGAAATTTCCATGATCTTTCTTAGTCTTTTAAATATTATTAGGACAAAATTACTCTCCAAAAACTTAGAGTGTGAGTATATCCAATGCAGTATCATGTCCATTACGTATCTGTCCTACAAAAGTGTACCACAGACAAAATATGCCTTATGATCCCTTTACAACCGCCAAGGGTCGCAAATATTAACCTCAGATGGTCAACGTCATACATCAGCGCTGTTGGCTAGTCCGCAAGCATTCAAATTATCTGCATAAATGCAAGTCAGTCAAAATGGCGCATCATCGACAAATTATCAGCTCAGGGTACTAATGATCATCAAAGCCAGGCATGGGAAACTTTTGAGCAAAGTTGTGCACATCATTTCGCAGGTCCTGAAGCTGGCGTCTGATGTCTGGATCAGAGCTTAGTAAATCTCTGAAGTCTTTAATTTTGCTGCCTACAAACAAGAATAAGCACAACGTTAGAGGACTGGAAGAAACAAACAGAATCATATGGTCCAGTACATGAACCGCAGTAGAATAACACCATATTTTTAAATCGCGCAATTACATAACAATATAAAAGACGATTCAGTACTTACCTCTGTCAAGTACGGTTCTGTCCACATATTCATTAATTTTATGAACAATGTGAAAAGAAAACAAAAAAAAATAATAAATATAGCTGTGATGATAGTATCTTACAGATTAAAATAATATTTCCTTCAGGTAGCAAAGGTCCAGTAGCGTCCCCCAGCTATCACTCCATGTAATAAGATATTCATTCATTCATTACCCGATTTGATCTTTGCCTCTGCTGCAATAGCGACACCGCGGTCCAGCATTTCTACCACTTTAATGAAGTCTGCCTCTTTGAACTGCCGCGATGTCAGCGCAGGTGCACCTGTCAATAACCAATCACATAATTGTACACAACTTGTACATCTTATAACTTACATATTAATTATGTTCCATAAGCATTGTCATCATTACATTTATTTCACATAAGGAAAATAAACACAATTTTCTCATAAAAAATTTACATAATATTTTCATACATTTTGATACATTTAATGTGGAACTCGTTAATAAAATTCAACTCGGCCAGTCACTGCAGTCATGTTGCATAAAATTTAAAATTAATTTTTAAGAATATCTACATATTTACAAGATCAAAAATTTTCACACATTATCTACAAAACCCAGCAAAGTAAAAATGTTACGTTACATACTTCTTCATTATGAAGAGCCACTTCCTCAAAAAAGAGCTTCTAGTGACAAAGATATAAAAATGATAGATTTATATTTTATGACAGTTCACATAATTAACTGAAATTCTGAAGTCGGAAATGAAGAGCTCAAAATCTTACCAAGTCTAAGACCACTGGGATTCAGAGCGCTGCGGTCACCAGGACAGGCATTTTTGTTAGCTGTGATATGGCACGCATTGAACACAGATTCTACGCGTGCGCCATCCAGACCCTTGGAGCGCAGATCCACTAACACGAGATGTGTGTCTGTCCCACCAGACACCAGAGCGTAGCCTCGCTCAACCAGAGCCGCAGCCATTGCCTTTGCATTGCGTAGGACCTGGCTCTGGTATTCACGGAACTCGGGCGTGCGAGCCTAAAAAAAGTAGAACAGAGTTTCACAGTGCTCACTGTATCAACCTACAAGTCCAGTGGTGTTACAACACAGAAGACCAACATCTTTATCACCATGAGAACCTCGGATCTCACCGTCAGAATGCTCTCAACAAGAACGTAAATTCCAACATATCTCTTGGACAATCACACAAGTGATGAAGAGAATTGCGCTGAGTACATCAACGCCTCAGAGTAAGCACCACCTCCATTTTCACCTGTTTCAGGGCCACTGCAACAGACGCTATGGCGTGGTTGTGAGGACCTCCCTGCAGAGATGGGAACACAGAGTTGTTGATACGACTCTCATAGTCATATTCAATGGGCTTTCCTGTTTTCTTGTCTACCGACTTTGTGCCTCGTCGGAAGAAAATCACACCGGACCTTGAAAAGAAAGCGATGCTTGCGTTATGCATTCAGAAGTAATTTCAGAGCACAAAAGAGTGAAGATGTCGATAATCGACCACCGGAGAGACTAGGTGGAGGAAGGTATGCAAAACGGA